CAGGAAGAAGAGGAGGAATCCCAGGTTTTGCACGGAACCGGCCATTGCAAATGGTTCAATGTGAGAATGGGATTCGGGTTCATCTCCATGAGCAACCGAGAGGGAAGCCCCTTGGAGTCTCCGGTTGATGTCTTTGTACACCAAGTAAGACCCATTTTTGTCTTCCATCTCAGCCTGCCACATTTAGTTGAGCTCAGTGGGACTCCGGTTTCATGTGAAGTAACCTATTTTTCCTAGGTATTTAGGTACATCTGTAATTAAAAACTTGCCCTAGGTAGTGGTTTTGTTGGCAGCGTACTGTTTGAGTAAAGAAAGTCGTTAGATTGTGCTTAGTCTCCGTGTCTGGAGATTTGTGCAGAGGGATAATATTGTTTCTCCCTGGTTAGAAACTCCTCCAGTGATTTTTATTTATTTTAAAATGCCACACTTTTCTTTTTAACAAGGTTTATAATTTGTCACCAGACTGATCAGGAGCAGATATGCCTTTCCTTGGAAACTGATTAAAATTAAGTTCGGAAAAGGATAAATAAAATGTCGGTTTTCATTCAGTTAACATTTGAATACGGTTTTAAACGCTTTTCTTGTAGACCTCGAATTGCTTTTTAAAAGCTCATCTGAGATTAGTTAATGAAATTAAGACATAATTATAGTGTTGTTTTGCAGTAATTCAGACCTGAGAGCGTCCCTGTGGTGCTACACTGAAGCGTGCATGTGGTTTGGTTGGTTGGTTTTTAAATATTCCTGCCTAGGGAAAAAAAAAAAAAAAAAAAGTAACGCTTAAGGAATCAGGCTGTCGGGGAGAGAAGGGAGTGTGGCCATTGCTTTTATTTTTAAGTCCATCAGCGTGAACGGTGTTCGTAGTTTGAGCGTGGAAGCCGGCATGAATGCCTTCACGAACAGGAGTTTCCGATGCAAGATACATACAAAATGATAAGGGAACTTTTCCCAAGGTCTGTAGCGAGGGTTGTGGAGAAGGAGCATGTGTACACCTTCCCTGGTCCTCCTGTTAGTCTCCAGTTGCAGCCACCCTATTTTGAATTTCACCCGTCTGCTCTGTGATCAGAGAACAGAAGAGCGGTGTCAGGTAAAGAGACCATTTTGGGTTTGGCTAGGGCCATGTTAGGAAGGCAAAAAGGCATCTTAACTTTTTACGTGGTTGTCCATTTTCTATGACGTTTGAAATGACGGGGCAGGGGGGTGTTCCATGATTATATTGTGATTCCCTTTTAATGTTCCATTCGATGTCCCGGCCTTATTCAGTGGTAACTTTCATCAGGCTTTGTTAAAGAATACACCTTTCATTACGTTAATAAAAAGGTGACTGAAAATTAGAAAGAATGCTGCTGCTGCGGCATGTTGCCTTGCTCCTTGTGGTGGTGGAGAGGATTTCTTACGTGTACCCTGTACCTAAGGGCCTGCACATCAATTTTAGCTGCGCTTGCATTTGGAATTATGTACAAAGTGTAGAATCCAATTGTGAACTTAGTAAATTCTTGCACTTCCTGCTTTGTATTGGTATACGAGGTGCCCTCCTCTTTGGTGCTTTTTCTTTTTAGAACTGAATGAATGAAATACCAAAGAAGGAGCAGTCTTCCTCACGTTTTTCCCCCCTTTCTTCCCTTCTTTGTACCTTTTTTAGGTCGTGAAATTGCTCTTTACAGTTCTATAAATTTATAGATAAACATTTTCCTTAATCGAATTTTGTGTTAATATCTCATTCCTTTTTGCTTCTCAAATAATAGAAAACAAAACATTTGACCCATAGCATTGGTGGTGTTTAAAAAAAACCCAAACGCATTTGAAAACAAACATATTAGATCTGTGGAAATAGATAAGTGTTGAACTGTATGGTAACGTGATACATGTAAGTAATACTAGACAAGGTGTGCTGTTCCATAACAGAAAGTAGTCATAGAAAATTATAAAAAAGTATGTGGTAAATTTGGAAGTTGCTATTCAGTTGTGTCCCCTAAAGGAGGGCCCGAGAAGGAAATGTTAGACATGTTTCTTTACACTTTCATAAACTACATTTTCTTGTTATCCTTCGGTTTCTTAAGACATATCACAATGTAAAATAGCGTGTTTCATTGCACATAAACTGTACGCCTCAGCCATTTTGAATATTACTTAGAGATATGTCTTACTGAGTGAAATTATTAGTATTCTGCAATGGATTGCTCTTACAACAAAGAAAATATGTTTCTCACCTTTTTCTTTCTGATGAAACCTAGGATATACATATACTTCATGATGACATGAATCTTCTTTCCATCAGTCAAAAGCAGAATTTTTCTGTTTAATGTAATGGGGAGAAGCAGTATCTATTTCGTTTCAAGTACATTTTAGATAATTTATATTGCTATATAGAATGCTTTGTGTTAGCTGACTAGCTGAACAGTGGTAGCAGTAGCAGGCAGAGCATAAAAATGTCTTTAAATCAGCAATTTTATTTAACAGTGCTGCTTGTACAAGTCTGTTGCCTGAACAGTGATTGGACCCTTTTACTACTAGTTCATTAATTCAAAAAATTTAGTTACGTGAAAAGGCCTTTTCAAGGCAAAGATGATAGTTTATTAATCTGTTGAAACAAAATAATACTGTTCAAAACTGCTTTGAAAACACTTGATCATTTATTTGTGTGCCACGTGAGTGTTCCATGCATTCACTTGTTCTGCAATGTTTGTAGCTACTAGTATCATTTTATAGAATCAGACAGTTAAGGCAGAGCAAAGAAGCTTCTATTTTATTCAGTCCAAGTCCTGTCAAAGCTAGCTTGAACACCGCAACAATATTTTTACTTCCTTATCTTATCTTTTCTTGGTGTGGTTATGCCCAGTGTATGAGATCTTGTTATGAGCAGAAACTTACTGGATGACAAGTCAAAATTCCTATAATAGTTTAAGCTCGTTATACCTAGACTTTTGAGCCTGCAATAAATAATTTTGCTTTCTTGGAGTTCCCCCTTGGTTGTGTGCAGATTACAGCTGTATTTTTGTAAAGTCAGTGCTTCACTAATTGTATATATTGGTGTCATTTTAGAGGACGATGCTTGTGTTTGGACTTCTCTTCCCCTTTACCTAATAAAAGTTCTGTTCATGAAACAGCTGCAGTATTGAGTTTTTAACTCTACCTTTTAAGTCCTTCCTTGAGCACTAATCAGTTTGATCTTCTCTGAACTACCTTCAGGTTGTTATTACCCTTCCAGTAATGAGGTACCTAGAGCTAGATGCATTATTTAAGGTAGAAACACATTAGCCATTATGTATGTGCATCTGTGTGTGTGTGTGTGTATGTACAGTGTAAATAGGGTAAACTGACAAACATCTACACTCTTGTCCTTTTAAAGCTTTATTCTGATACAGCTTATACCTTGAAGTCATGTGTTTGAGTCACTCAGTGTCTCATAAAAATTACAAGTCCTAAAAACGATTTGATTTTTTTCAAAGACAAGCCATGCCCAAGGCAGTAATGTGCCTAGTCAACTGTGTTTCTTTTACAAAAAAAAATTAAGAGTAGCAATGTTAGTCCTTTGTAACTATTAAATCCAAGGAATGTGCACCTTACTGAATTTGGCTCAGTATTGTCATTTGGACTTTTAATAGGTTAGCATGGAATGAATAATATAGCTTGCTTTTTTTTTATTATTATTATTATGTGAATTCTGCACATAGTTATGTATGAGCAGCTCTTGTTAAATTTTAGAAAAAGATTTATTTGTCAAAGGGTAAAACAGACTGAAGAGGTGAAGTGACTGGAAGCTTTTGTCATGCACATGGAAAAAAGGTCTTCATTGCTAAGAACTAAGAAGAGCTCAAGCTTTCATAAAATCGGAGAAAAGGATGATGTTTGTTAAAATTTTTTTGCATGTTCAAATTTTACACACAGCTTGAATGCATACAACTTTTTTGGACTCTGGCAGTAAGGCAAAAATGCTGCAGATTCTTTTTTGCACACATTTTGTGTGGACTGTTAGAAATGTGTCTGTTTTCCTTTGCTTAGCATGAAGCCCAGATGTTAAAAGATGATAATGAAGGGGGTAGGGTGCAATAGATGCAATTAAATACATGTTTGAATATCAGAGGTTATGATTTTGTGTTCTGTTTCTGAGTAATGTTGTCTTTGGGGATGAGATAGATTGTTCATTTTGAATATGTTTGTTGGGATCTAGCTGGGTAGTCCAAAATTCTTACTGCATTAAGGGATTGATACAGGATTTCTGAACTGGGACCTTAAACATGATCCTTCTTTGGGATCCTCTTTTATGAGATGGGGAGAGGAAGGAAGGGAGGAGCAACATGCAGGAGTTGGTGTATTTTGTTTCCTCATTAAAAGGAACATGGTTGGTTTGAAATTTTTCACTTTCATCTGAACTTTCTTACAGTTGCTGCAACTTACTGTTATTACAAGATTTGATAAAAATGGAAGAGCACCTTTTTCCTTTTCACTGAGTTCTTCTGCACTGTGCTATTGTATATTATAAATTTTGCTCTTATTGTTGCAAGTACCTATAACAAAAGGAGTGAAAATTACAGACTATTCAATTATGATTGAAGAGTAAATGGAAACTTAGACATGTAAGCTGCATCTAAAGTCTTTTCCCTAATTTGACTGACCATCCTTTTTGCTGATGAATCAGATGCCTATTCTTTAAATTCCTAGTATTTTAGCCACAATTTTAACTACTTTTTCTATGATAAAGTTGGGCATGGCATGATACACTGAATGCTGACTTTTTTATATTGTGACACATGTGATCCCGTACTTTTGCAAGGATGCCTTCACTCATTTAACACATCTTTTCCATTTCTGTATTATTAGGAGCCTGTAAAAAAACTACTTAATTGCTCAGATAACTGCAAGTTCTGGGTAAGCAAGTAGGATCAATATTACATTGCTCCTTATTGTTAAACATGACATAGCAATGCCTGTTTGAAGTACAGAAGTCTCCATGCAGTTTATGCTATTACAACTTGTCATCTTTGACTTCTGCTGGGGACCAGGCAAGCCCAGTCATAATCAAAACAGAAGTGGCTAGCAGGATTTAGAGAGGTAAGCTGGGAAGGAAGCAAATGAAGAGTAAATGTGTGTCTGCGTGAGTATGTGTATTGGAGATCTGGCAGAGATCAAACCTGCACTGAAGGTGT